AAAAATAAATGGATTGAAGCAACAGGACTCTAAGGCAAATAGTAGGTATACTTACTGGATATGGAAACTTTAACAAACACCTATATAACATGGGTTATTCTGACAGTCCTCTGAGCAGGGCGTGCATGGAGACTGAGGAGATTGTCTCCTCAGTCTCCATTCCAGTATCACATAAGCGCTTGTGCACTCATGTGATACTGGAATGCAGGAGTCTATTAAGACAAAAGGACTACATATCTATGAAGCCCAAGGATACTAGTGGAAGCATGCGGCAGAGTTCGAGATCTTACGGGCTTCCTGGAGGAGCTGGGGTGGCAGGACTAAAGCAACCCCGTGTCTGGAAAATAGGAACTGAGTATCGAGTTGCAGAAAAGCCCGCCGTGAAACATAACATAACAACACAGGACGTAAAAATGTGTAGCGTGTCGGGAGGGGGTAGCGGCTACTACAAAGTGTTTGCCCACAGAAAAATGCCGATTTCTATTCTATCGTATAAAATCTTTTTTGCGCCGATTCACTAAATTACATACGTGTGAGTTCGTGACATATACATAATATTTAAGCAAAATGGTAGTCTGTCTATAAAGTCATGAAAAAAATTGAGGGCGCTTCGATCGTGCACGTAGCAACCCTGTGTAGTGAGACAAATGATTTTGATAGTAGGATTTTTTTTTACTCTTATTACCCCAGAAAAGGTAAAGAAAGGCGTATAATTCGTAGACAATGAGTTTATTCTACATTGAAGATTACAATATAGTAATCGTAATTTTTGATAAATCTTTTTTTTTATAATTGCCAAGTTGTTTTCTCGTTTTACTGCAATGTGTGCTTGTGTTCGATTAAAGCCTGTTACTTTGACACTCCTTGTAAGAAAACCCAATATATTTCAGAATTTAACGCAGAACTTCTAGGCTACAATTAAAATCCAGATCGGTTTTGGCAATCCACTGATGTTTTCTTCATGTAGGTACCTCTTTTTTTCACAGAGTAAAAGAACTGAATCTTTTGTCGAAGTGCACAAATGTTGCAGTTAACCATTTATTTCTTAGGACGACTATCTATGTTTCCCAGGGGTTTCAAATATGCCACCATTTTTATAACCTTCATCTACAATACGTAGCACTATATTCTCTGATTTTCCTGAAAGTAAGTTTTAAAAATGTAATACCTATAGGTATTTGGCAAAAAGAATGGAATCGCCACAATGATCAAATTAATGCTATAATTTTAGTAATATAAAGCACAAACTTTTTATTGGCGTACATAGGTAAAAATCGTACATTCCTAAAAGGTATATTTTTTATTCAGATTAAAATCAATGATAAATTTGATTATCCAAAAGTATTGAAAGTTCGGACCGCACTACAATATAGCCTTCTAACATTTTCAATCTAACTTATAAATGCATAATGTAATCAATACTTCTTTTAGACTTAAATTCATATATTTAGTAAATTTGAAACTTCTGGTAACCAAAACTCAATCAGTAACACGATTACTGCTGTTCGAGCTTTAACATTCTACAAATATGATAAAATGTGTCCAGCTTCTTGTTCCAATAAACATCACTGAAAAACTTTATAAATAATATCCTGAGCTTCACTCTGATTAATTCTCTTCATTTTTAACACTTTTCGACGGAGTTTAGAAGAAGTAGCTTCAGTTTAATCAAAACAAATCAAAAATGCAGAAAATCGAGCTAAAAAATCAAGTTGTTGACAGTCGATGTACTTTGATTCAGTGTTGTGATACTTGTGTCTAATGTTAGTTCCTCAAACATTCTTTTCATGACTTTATAGACAGACTGTACACGTTGGTCTCCGTCGATCGATATCGTTTTTCAATCGATAAGAATCGGTATGCCGTTTCAAATACAACATGTATTCGATGCAAGTGAAATTATGTCTTCCATCACTAAATTAAGATCGTGACGTCATGATACCTACACAAAATGTGGCACGCTCGGTCTCCATATAAATCGACGAACATGTTCCTTCTAACAGTGACCTAATAAAAAATATAATAACTAGTTACATTTTTAAAAAGTTCCTATTTAGTGGTTAAGAATATGGTTTATGAATGAAGAATATGTAAAGAATTCGCCATTTTGATAATAAATAAAATTAATTTTGGAGTACAAAAGGGTTAGATCTTTTATGACGTTATTGATCTGCATAACTTTGTTTCATCTACCAATTAGTTCAAAAGGATAACAATGTTGAATACCAAATTTTAGAGACAATTTTTAGTAGACATTTCATTAAGATGTTCATATTAATGAAATCACTACTACTGTTACTCAATTAATAGTAGATAAGTTCATTAGGTCTTTTAATGATTGTTTTAAGATTTAGATTTTGTTCCCTAAAGAATTTTATGAACAAAACACAGACATACACAGGAAAAACTGTTATAATCATGATATAATAGTTACAGTAGTAAATGATATTTATTATTATTTTTCGAATAAAATATTGATAAAGAAATCCTTGGATTGTGACACTAACGGCCGGATTCTGAACTGATAAAAGCACAAAATCTCAACTGAAATTTCTCAATAACTTAAGTTTTCTACGTGTCATATGGCAAAAAGTCCTAATTTTATCAAATTACTATCAACTGATCATTAAAAAATTATAAATCAGCAATGAAAACCTCATCAATTGACTTTAAAAATGGCTTAAGCACGGTTTGAGATGTGCTCAACTTCAAATTCTCAATTCAGAAACCTGGTGATATACTTTCTTATTAATGGGGCAAACTATATCGCTCACTGAATAGTACAGTGGCACAACACAAAAACCATTATTTCGAGATAACGCCACATTATTGTGGTTGCATCCCATAGATAATTTAAAGAAAATATAAGAAACTTGACAGTAATAATATTATACAAACGATTTAACTGTTACACTAAAAAATTGATTTTCATAATTATAAATATATTAGATTTTCATAACTTCGGAGAGCGTTTCTCAAAATTATGGTTTTTGAGTTGTGCCACTGTACTATTTAGTGAGCGATATATGGAACGTGGTACGTTTCATTTGAATAATCGGCACGGCAGGTTGGGTGGATCGCGTGTGGTGTACATACCTGGTGGGCGTCAGTTGCGGCGTGTCGTGTGGCGCGGGCGGGTGTGCGGGGGCGTGAGTGGGCGGCGCGGGGGGCGCGGGCGGCGGGATGGAGGGGCGGGCGCGGCGCGGCGTGCCCGCTATACTACCGCCGTATATCGGCTCCGGGGCCGTGCCGTACGGACTCTCCTCCGGCACTAATAAACAAAAATCACATTAACGACGTCAAGTGGGTGACCTGACTATTGAAAATGCAAATAATTGGCTCCTTGACAGTTGTAACAATTATACTTACATATTTTTTTATGTATTTAAATAAACTGCAAGTATATTTTATTTATGCAAAATTTACTTGCAATGTTTAATCTGTGGATTACAAGAATCGAAACACTATCGGTAATGATAGAACATTGTGTGACGTCACATTTCAATAAACATAAATGCTTTTATTCAAAATTCAACCAATACCCATTTTTATTGAAACTGCTCGAAACGATTCGAGATTGTTTTTAGGCGTGAATTTAAATAAATTAATAAAAATATATTTTTAACTCTTGGGTACAAATCAATCTAATAGTGGTTTCATAAGATCATATGAAACTTTCAAATGCTTTACCCAAAACAGTCAATAAGCAAATTCAAATGATATATTACCATGTCCGTTCCCAGTAAGTCTAGGCTGTCGGATCTGTTGCTTCTCGATTTCGATGGAATTGGGCCTCGCTGGTTGATTCGAAGGCGGTCTATTTTGCGGCGTTTTGTATGGTCCGTCTGGAACACTTGTATCTAGAGAAATATAAAACACATTCCATTGTTAATAAAATCAACAAGTAATTAATTTATGGGTCCAGGTGAAGTCCTAGATACTATACTTTGTCGTTTTATGGCAACGTAGTATCATCATCATCCAATATAAAAAACTCTGAAGTTAAGCAAATTGGTCCTGCTCCACCACACTTGCTTTATCAGTATATACCTATGGGGTTAAAATTCCAACTTTCTGTATCATGTCAAGGAATGGTCCCAATACAGAGCTCTGGGGCACACATTTTACATTAAAAAATTAAGAGGTTTCAGACTTTTATACTTAAGAAATTCGCCCTTCGTGATTAAAATGTAGGAGGGTATAGAAGCTATGTGAAAGAATTATAGTTAAATTACACAAAAGATCCTATGCCAGGCTTGGTCTAAAGCCTGTTGAACGTCTAATAATTAATAACGATATTTCCTGTTCAACTGATTTATTTTACATTACAACTAGCTTTCAGCCAGCCAGTCAGCTTTCCGACCGGGAGATTATATATATGTATATAAACCTTCCTCTTAAATAACTCAGTATATTGATGAAAACTGCAAACAACTTTTTTTATAGTATGTTTAAATGTGCAGATTCCAGTTATACACAATCCATCACCGGCTGAATATTAGCGCGAATCCCATCTATCGCTCTGACATTGACAGATAGCGATTCCCGTAATTCAACAGCGATGTCCATAGTATTTGATATTTCTCGTCTAACAGTATGTACTCACATATGTATACGGGGTCTGGTTTATTGTGATGTACGTCGTCCAAATGTTTGAGTTGCGTGGTGGGCATGATGTGTTCGCCGCGTGTGACGGCGGCCGCCTTCTGTCGCTCGCGCGTCGAGTGAGGCGCACGCACACGCCTCGTGCCCCGCCCCTCAGCGCCCGCGCCTCCTCTAGGTGCACGCACCTAACGTAACAAATAATAAAGTACTTTATAAACATCACGTAAGGTCCAGCATACCCAAAAACCAAAACGATGCAAGCTATATTATCTACCTTGAACTGGAAGGTAATCCAAATCACACAGTTAGGGATAATATAAAACCATTAATATATGTAAATATCTTTCATGGTTACCTTGTAGCGAGTAAAATACTAAATATAGAAATGGCACAGAATCCTTTAGATATCTTTTATAGTCGTTAAATATTTCGTTAAATATAATTCCGAAATTTGATGTCTCGAAAGACGAAAATATCAAACTTTGTTACTAAATATAATTATCTGTATAGAATTTGTTTATTTTAGAACAAAAAACTATTAGTACAGCTGGTATGAAAACAGCATGCCAAAAGTCGAAGCTTCATCCAATGAACATACCTTCTTCCCCCTATCGTGCTGGATCCTTTCAGTGTCCTGCAGCATCTCCCTTCGCCACAGCTCGAAGAAGTAATCTGGATCTGTGTAGAACTTTCTCGCGTCACGGCCGTCATCTCTGAATTCGTTGAGTCGCTCGAGAGGCGGCGGTCGGTCACAGCGTGCGTACGTCGCGAGCATCGCCGACGGCATAGAGTTTCTTGAGAACAATTGCTGTTGGAACGCCCGCGACGAACGGAACGCTTTCCGCATTTGGATGTCCTGGAGAGACACTGCGAAGACATTTCTATATATTAGAATAGAGGTGGGAATGGGGATGTAGGAAAAGTAAAGTATTAAATAATTTACCTAATATTCTTCACAAAGGGAAGATGTTTTTATGCATGATAGTGTAAGGGTGCACTCTGCTGGCATCATTGAGTTACTATTATAACATTAGAAAATAAAAGGGGCATAGAAGCAGCAGTGCAGAACATTTTATTTTCAAGATAATTAAAAAAATATATATATTAGGATTCTTGAAATTTTGAATGTTATGTTGTCTGAAAGAGCCTGACAATTTTCCATTTTTTACGATACCTCGGGGTGGAGATGAGGCCAGCATTTTATTAATTCATCTTTTACTCCCTAGCCAACATGAAACTAAAACTATCTATCTGTTGTTAACTTGTTTTGATAAATTCTAATTGTAAGTGTAATTAGTCAGACTATTGATGAAGACATTAGAAAAATTCCCTGAAATGTCAAAGGTTGAGGGTAGGTGTCGAAGCTTAGAGCGTAATTTTTGTAAACCAATCGGGCCTGCACCGGCATCGTCCATATTTAACAAAACTTAACAAAAACAAAACAAAAATAAAACAATAACAACTTAATCCTGGAAAACGGCAAAACAATAAGAAAAGCAGTAGCATTCACAATGGATGACAATCTCAGATTGCGATTTTAACAATTATGAACAAATAATAGTCTGACAAAATTAAAAAGCTGTACTGCCGAAACGTTTGATAGGGTTAGGCAACGTTTTAAATCTGGTACAGTTAAAGTGACATGAGAATCGTGCCGAAACTATCCAACCCTGCTTCTTTAGGTTCTTTACGATGAACACTTTTTATTGTATAATAGTTATTAAATCATTTAAGTTAGTCATACACTCATAAATTTGTTTAATAGATAGCTGCAACGACAACAGTTAAGTAGAGCAGCTGGTATTTAAGTGAATATGTAGCAAATTAGCCGTCAGTCTTAAGAGTAACATTATTATTGATATTTTGTCACAAATTATACCATAAAAAGAACCTTTTCTGTCTAATGCTATAATTAGTCAAGATTGGTATAGAAATATTACATTTCATTTCTAAGACATGCTTAGGTCTTAGGTTTGGAGACTGTTAAACCCACCAGAGATACTTCGTGAGTTGAGATCCGCTGTAGCGGGGATGTAGGAGGAAATCCAACAAGTTAAGATTAAAAACATTCTCCAAAGCCTGCTAGGATGCATGTAAGCTGACATAAATGCCAGATGCTATACATAATAATAAATGTGTTTTATTAATATTATCGTTACAATTTAAAAGTAAAGAAATTACTAAAAATTATGTGTTTACCACTTTTTCCACCAATAAATGTATAAAAATCAACAAGACAAGTCGTCATAATCGCAATGATAAGAACTTTTATCACTTGATAACTAGTGGGATTTTAATTGTTGACCTAAATAGTATCAATTCTAGAAATTTGATTCCAACACCACAATTCGTTCAAAGAAAGGTTCTAAATAGAGAAAATCCAGTACATAACATGAAATTGGTTCCTCACCTTCCTCTACCCCTGAATCTAGCTGCGTGACCTTGATGGCCAGTCGATCTATCCGGGCCTGGAGTACATTAGTTCGCTCTGCCAGATTGGTCGCTTCCCGAGTCAACTCTCCGAACATATCCTCCGCATGTTTGGATAGAGAAGATAGTTGTCTGCAAAAGAAAATAGAATTTGTTTACACCTCAGAAGTTTGCAACTCGTATAATACATATGTGAAAATTCTATGAAAAATTCTTTGACGGCTCCGGCTACTATGTGCGTGTTGACGAGAGTCGCATTATGACAGGTTCGGTTACTGACGACAGACCAACACTTTCATTTGGCGACGGACTGCTTCAGGCTTCCTGAGAATGTTAGGGAGTTCTATTTGTGATGGCTTCTAATACTGACCTGACAGTGTTGGCGAGAGTCCCGTTAGTGACAGCTTCGAGCTCGGAAGGAACGGCAAGTCGCTCGGGAACGGTGCCCCGGGACACGTGCACCGGTTCCACACAGCGCTTCGGCAGCGGCATGGCTGCTCTCGCCGCGGCTACCTCGTCTGCATTACTAGAATGAACAGAGACATAAATACTTTAGAATTAATTCGACTAGGGGTCATTGTCACGAAAGTGCGTGCTCTCAATTCACACCTATGTAATTTCAACATCAGAATATAAGTTAATGAAAGAGTATGAATATAGGGTATGTTCCGATATACACTGCGACCACTGAACAGTATAACGTCAATTTAGTATACTGGAAGCCCGTTCCTTTATAACTAGTTATACTGGTGACTTTTTAAAACGGACCGCAGTCCAGTATACTGTTAATCCTATTTTTTGGCGCCATTTTCAAATTTGTTAATGCAAGGTGAATATAAATATAAAGATTCCCTCTTTTCAAAAGAAAATTGGAAAATTGTATACAAAAATTATTTATGAATTAAATCCATCTTATAAATAAACGTAAGTATTTTTTTTTGTTTATTTAGAAACTTATCATTTTCTGATTCTGTTTCGACTGATCACGTGATCAAAAGCACTGCGAGCACCTTACCTCGAAATCTCCAGTGCTCACAATACAGATATGACGGCAATTTATGACGTCATAAATTTCCCTAGGATACTGTAGCAGTGTACTGGCAGTCCATAACGGAACGGATTTTTCAGCAGTAAGACCACTGCGCAGTGCTCGCAGTGTATATCGGAACATACCCATAATGATAATGATGACAGCTTAGAAACTCTACTATAAATAAATTAATCACGTGTAACGGACACGACAAAATTTTATAATTACTAAAATTGATAGACGTTATTTCTTAATAGGGTATTCTTTCATAGGGTATAAATGCATTAGGCGAACACTTATGTCGTAAAAGTATTTATGTACATGGAAAAGTAAGAACTGTGTTAAAGTAGAGCTAAGTAGTTCAATGTAAATCTGTGTATACTATAGCTATGGACGAGATTCCTTTCGCTCGCCACGGTTCGCTGGCCACTCGAAGAGTTTTTCCGCGTTTTCGCCGCTTTCCGTCACTTGTTCCAACAAAGCGCGTAATTGGTAGTGATTAAAAGTTTTACCATGCCGGACGCTACGCGTGAATACGCCGTTATTAAATCGACAATTGGGAGTTTTGTTCCGTTAAATTTCTTCACATATCCGCCAGCTCTTCCGAATTCAAATTAAACGTATAGTTTTATATTTTGTTTATGGATAAATTAAAGAAAAGAAAAAAATAATCTGGTGGCAGCGACAGTCGCTCCATTTATATTATAAGGAATAGAAATGTTATTTGCTAAAGGATATAATTTGAGCACAACTGTACCACAGAAGGGTATTGGTTTATCCGAGAGATAACTAAGAAATGTTTTCGTAGTACAATGATTATTGTTAAGTTCAACGAACACCAATTTACTATACAACAGATAAACTAACAAACAAAAACAATATAATTAAACCGATCTTCCAGCTTAAAAGATTAATGTGTGCGTACAATAGCTGATACGATGAGAAGCTTGGTTTCATTGGGATAGTATAAAATTTTACAAGAAAAATATGCTTGCTATGCATAACACTTAAAACCCAGGACCAGAAATATTGATACCTATTAATTGAATGGCGTGGCACAGGTTATAATGTCAGTGCCAATTGCGCCATTCCATTGGCATGTCGAATCAAAACATGCAATTGAACAGTACGCTCTCATTGGTTAATACCGCAATATTTTACAGAAAGAATTAACTGTATCTATGAGAGGCTAAAATAACGTTTTCATTTCAGACAATGTTGCGTGTTCTTTAATTCAATCTTGATGCATAGAATCTAACGTTTATAATACTCAGCAACATTGAGTAACTGCATACTGTCACGGTATATTGTCTATATGGAGTTTTTAATCATTTAATGCATCTCGCACAAATAAGAATAAAAAACTTAAAAAGAATCCTATCGTATCTTACTTGCAAACACTTTCAATAGCTTCTGATGTCTTAAAAGATTAAATACAATAACATATCAACCAGAATCACTAAATAAAAGTGAACCTTTATAATGAATGACAATATTTTAAATTATAATAATAATGGGCACTTCCTCGCTTCCATAATACTTCCATGGCTGCATCTGCATTCGAAAGGCGTCCGGCATTCAACTAAACAAGGATTGACATCATCGGAATACATAAGAGTACACTTACGTCACTTACTGTGACTAGAAGTTCACAAGATTCTATTAGTATGTGATCTTTATTTCGTATTGTGTAAACTAAACAAGAAAACGATATATATTCTATTGCGATAAAAACTCTTAGAAAGTATGAAGACTTACTTTATCCCGATATCCATCGATAACGTAACAAATAACATGATGACCTATGATTATAACCAACAAACAATTACACAATGGTGTAGGTCATTCGTTGAGCTATTTCTAGTGCATAACGTCGAAACCGACACATCCTGCTCCTGATAAGATTATCCTAACGATATGTACATATATACATACATATGTAATGCTCCTAAACGCTATATTTATCACAGTTGTCAGTACAGCTACAGTTTGGTGAGGGATTTGTTATGCAAATAATGTCATCTTATTTAGAGGACTGACTGTAAGCCAATTCCACTTAAGGTTGTTCATGTTTCTTCTCATAATTATTTTATGAGTAATGAAATTACGGCAATATACACAAAAGAAGTATATTATGTACAGCAGATAAATGTACTGGTAATCTTGATAGTCTAGCGGCGAAGAAAGGAAGGGCCTTCACTTCACGAGAATTGTGCTGTCCTTCTTACTTTTACAACAGTACTTTATTTATTGGTAGACAACAAGGAGTTTATTTTCCTTGGTAGACAGACTATTAATTTTTTATCCCCTTTCTTATCTTAAAATGATATTTTTTCATTTATAAACTTTAACATGAAACAGAATTTAATAGGTATAGTTTAATCGCGAAGCATTCACTGTATAAATGAGTCATGGAAATTTAAACCAAAATGTCACTGATAAGGACAGATGGCGAATTACGCGTCAAAAACGCGCATTTGAATTTTTAATTAATTACTCGCAAACTATTATGTTAATTGCATATTTCTCTCACCTACAAAATGACATGACTCACATATTTATCAATAATCATAATAACAACAAGAAATTAAAAATGTTCCATTTTAGGGGTCATCATCATCAGCCTATTTACGTGCCCAATGGCTGCAGTGCCCCTGGGGTCGGATCTTCCTTATAGATGGGTCATACCCTCTGCGCTGGCCCAATGCGGATTGGAGTGTATTAACGACTGCAAATGCAGTAGAAAACAACTGTTTACCGTGCCTTACGAAGAACGAGTCCGAAATAATATTTTTTGGTCCTTCACTCCGTAACCGGCCGTTGCGAAAGTTGCTTATCAACAACGATCGCGAGCCGCGGTGCTTATCCACTTCAAATTTTAGGAGTAACTTATGATATTTCTTTTTATGGAGTAAATGCATGTTTTGGCTGTGTTCTTAGTTTTCAATAACAGCTTATCGTTTGCTGAACTCATTTTGAAATATAGCTTATTTGGGCGTTTTTTGCTTGTACAAAACCGGTTGAAAATTAATGATTTCTATATACTAGAGACTTAAAAGAAACATATGTTACTTATTTCTCCCACCTAAAATCACCTAATGAAAACAAACACAAGGTCTGATGAATCTATTCAATACAGCGTCTACCTGTGTGGTTTTGTTAGTAAATTACTCTGTAGTATTCCCAATGAAGTAAAGGTAAAAGCCCCCCTTTAATTAGATGAGCCACGAGACAACCCGGCGTCACATAGCACACAGGCATGCATACACCGTCATTCACTCGTAGCGTGTGGGTGGTAACAAATTGACACTTCCGTCGAGTTAACGCGATCGAATGCTGCGATCGTAAAGCTTCTACGATATCAGTTGCTGGATAGTTCATCAAATAAAGGTTATAATGAAATATTATTGGACATCAAAAAATCTCTTGTTATATGGAAGTTTAAAACATCTAAAGTATAGCATAAGCAGCACACACACCTATTGTTGTATAAGTACCAGAGGCAATATAGGAGATATTTTTACCATGGTCTCTCGACTGCAATCACCTTTAAAAAAAAACTTCATAATGAAACGTTGGGGAAACTCTTTTCTCATATAGTAGACATAAACTTGTAATAAAATCTTTCTGGCTATACCATTTGTATATGGCTGGTTTCAGTATCATTAAATTGTGTACATTTTAAAGATAACTTCAAATTAGGAAAATGTGCGATTTTCATTTGTTTTTCTTGCTGTCAAAATGAGTGAATCTAATGAAGAATCGAAATAGAAAAAAAGCTGGGTACATAAAAAAGGTGGATATTTGGATACTTCACTAGCTCAATGAAAGAAACCTAATGAACTGTATACTCATTTCTGATTCTTTATTACGGCGTAATGAAACCGAACCATTTTTGAAGAAGCTGATGATGAAAAGCTGATCACGTACGACAAGAACATGCGAAAAAGGTCGTGGTTATAGGTCGGTTAGACGTCACAGACTGTGGCGAAACACGAATTAACTCGCAACAAGGTGATGCTGTGTGTATGGTGGGATTGGAAGGGCATTATTCATTATGAGCTGTGACCGCCAGGCAGGACCATCGATTCTTAACTCTACTGCAAACAACTGACGAGATTAAAGCAAGAAGTTTTTCATCATGATAACGATCACACATCTTTTGCCACTCAGCAAAAATAAGGAGTTTGACTGGGAGGTGTTATGCATCCGCTGTATATAGTCCTGACCTTGTACCTTCAGATTTCCATCTATTTCGGTCTCTTCAGAATTCTTTAGGCAGTGTCAAGTTGACATCACACGAGGACTGCCAAAACCACTAGTCGGGATTTTTTGAACAGAAGCCGCAAATTTTTTATGGTAATGGGATCACGTCCCTACCTACAAGATGACATAAAGTTATCGAACAAAATGGTACCATACATTTAACTATATAAATAAATTTTATTAAAAATTATTTCAATTTTCTCCAACCTTACAAGAAACTTTTTCTCCAACCTATTACATAATTCATTATTTTATTTCTCGTAGTCATAGTCATACTGCATATTACAATGTAGATTCGTGCGGGTACAATTTTACTTTGTAGAAGATTATGCGTATTTTCAAATCTAGTTGATATTATGAAATGCTTACCACAGCTTAACACAATAAGTAAGCGTTAATGAACGAAATACAATGTGGTTTAGAAAAAATGACATAGAAAATGACTTGAAAGTAAATCGCTGCAACGACGCAATATAAATTAACAGTTCAACGCAAAAGCACACGCGAGGTTTGATCGACTAAGATCATGCAACACCACCGTTTTGTTAGGTATTTCTTTAATCGAAGCGATAATTCCAATTTGTTTTAATTAACAAAAAAAATCATGTTAGTACTTAGATCTAAACAAAGTTATGTCTATGATTTAGAATATTAATGTATAGAAAATATTACATAATTATATATATACTTCTATATTAATATTATAAAGAGGAAAGATTTGATTGTTTGTTTGTACGTTTTTTTGTTTGCATAGAATAGGGTCCAAAACTACTGCACCGATTTTAAAAAAGTGAAAATATTTATTTATATATTTATCTCGAAAAACAGCAAATCAAGGGATGGAAAGCGGAATAGAAGTTTGTATAGGGAAATAAAACGTTAACATAGTAACTATTTGCCACTGTAATTATATCCGTGTCATGATGTAAATATGTATACAAATAAACAGTTCCCTGGGGACTACGCGAGCGAAGCCGCTGGCGGAAAGCTAGTGGGGTAATAATAAGATTAAACACAAGGTCATTCTTATCTTAGATCACCTAATAATTTATCAACGAATATATTATAACATTTCTTGATAATAAATTTTGACAAGTCAATAAATGTCAACATGTACAACCTATAGGTATTTGCTCATTCTTCGTAGTACACTAGTAAGAAGTACATTAATATGAACGAATTGGGAAATATTAGCGGAAAATCTTTTTTGATAACCGGTGGCGCATCTGGTCTAGGTGCGGGCTTCGCGGAATCATTTCTAAAAGAAGGCGCAAAGGCAAGTCTTATTATCACAAATCAATTATATTAGTAGATTCCTAGATAGAACATATACAGTAGAACTCCAATTATCCGAATTAATGGGGACCGGGACCCATTCGGATAATCAAATATTCGGATAATCGGATTTTTTTTTAAAAAATTGCCATTGGAGAGAATAAAAGCTACGTTTTGATATTGCACTATTTTTTTATTGAATTAAATGAAAGAAACATGAATTTTCACATGTTTTAAATATAAATAAAATGTACTTATGTACAAGTTTAGAAATAAAAATCATTGTTTTTTAAACATCTCCGTCAATGTAAGCTGTTTTGCGGTCTTCAACCGTTTTCGGGCAGCCAGGTCACGCATTCGCTTGACGGTGAGCAGTTGCAAGTGGTCACACTCGGGCTGACGCTCCATCCACTTCAAAGCAGTCTCGAGGCCGGCAAATGCTTCACTAGCTGATGGTCCAGCGTCTACTTCAACATCAGCAGAAAGTTCTTCTTCCACTTCCACTTCAACATCTTCTCTCACACTTACAACAATTTCATCGTCATTGAGAATTTGAAAACCAGGGTCAGACGTGTCACAAGCCATCCACTCTCCTACATCTTCAGCACTTACTTCTGTACAACCAGGAATTTTTACAATCATTTTTCTTATTTCCTCTAGTGACAACGCATCTTTATCATCATCATCCTCTCCATATTCTTGTTTCTCATTTTCTTCAGATTCTTTTTTTTTGTTCTTCTCAGACGGTAGGCCTTTCAGTTTATTCCACGCACGTCTTAGCGTCACTGCCGTAACTAGGGTTTTCAAATACCCGACAATTTTAGATACCCGGGTCTCGGGTACATTTATTTTAAATACCCGGGTATTCTTGTTTTTTTTGTGAAACTGGGAAAAAACGAAAACGAAGCGAACCAAACTCTGGTACATAAAACTAAACAATTACATTTTTTTCAGTAAAACAATAATCACTCTTTAGTCAGTCTATAATTCTTCAATCAGTCACACTTAGTAATGAATACAAACAATTATACATTGTTATAAATATTTATCAAGTTATATACTATCTAATCTTCTCTGTATATTAAGTATATTTCTTTATCAAATAAAAACAAACGAACCAAAGTCTGGTACATAAAACTAAACAATTAAACTTTTTTCAGTAAAACAATAATCACTCTTAGTCAGTCTATAAATTACTTTATCAGTCTTTCTTAGCTTGTAAAAAGCGAGCTTTCAAAAATACAATTGCAAATAGAGATTTATCTGAAAGTCTGTTTCTGGTTTTTGTCACAAAATTCCCAGCTACCGAAAACACTCTTTCGCTGTCGGTTGATCTAGGCTTGATTGTTAACAAGGCCTTGTAAAGAAGTTCTAGATTAGAAGTGCGTTGCTTGGAAACTTCGAATAACTAAAAAAAAAAAGCATTCGGCATTATTTCTTACTTAAATAAATAAAAACAAGTATTTTTTATATTATAGTGTTATCTTTGTTGTTATTAATAAAGTAATTTATAAAGTTTTTCTAAAAGTATTGTTATATAAGTATATTGATATTGCTATGTTCTAAAATAAAAGAGAACGAATAAAGAAATTAATTCTAAGAAAATTTATTACCTGGAATTCCTTCTTAAACTTAGAGCGATCAATCTTAGTTGCCGTAATAGACGCAGCAGCTTTGTTTATGGCTTCATTCAATTCAGATTTTAATGATATATTATCATTGTTATTGTTAGCCATAGCCATAACCACATTTTTCTGCAGGCGTTTTGTCTACCAACGCGCATATATCAAAAATTACCCGAGACCCGGGTACGTCCGTTGTTTGTACCCGGGTACCCGACGTATCAAATACCCGGGTATACCCGGACCCGGGTACCCGGGTAAAAAACCCTAGCCGTAACCAAACTCCAAGCTTCCGCTACCATGTAACAGCAGTCCTTTAAATTTATTTTGCTATGATTTGCCAAAACCAATTCTTCATCTTCAGCACCTTCGTTCAGCAGTTTTCTCAGCAGTTGCCTTCTGTAATGGCGCTACATTGTTTCAATAACAGACTGGTCCATGGGTTGCAGCAAACTTGTAACATTGGGAGGCAAAAACGTCGTTTTGAACTGCCCATTCTCTCTTTCCAACAGTTCTGCTGTAGGATAAATGGGTGCGTTATCAACAATTAAAAGCACCTTACTGCCTTCTTTTCCCACCGATTTTTGGTGCTTTTTCACGTCAGGAATAAACACTTCATCATACCATTCGGTAAACAAAGCTGCAGTCATCCAGGCATTGGGTTGACTTTTGTAGAAGAGTGGAAGTTTTTTTACGTTTTTAAATGCTCTTGGATTTCTTGATTTTCCTATCAAAAGAAGTGGCAGTTTATGATTTCCAGTGGAGTTGGCACAGTTAAGCACTGTAACACGTTCTTTACTGACCTTATGTCCAGGGGCACTAGATTCCCTTTTAGAAGCCAAAGTGGTTTTTGGTAATGCTTTCCAAACAAGGCCAGTTTCATCGGCATTATAAACAAACTCCGGATCATAGGATTCTGATGCAGTTTTAATTTTTTCAATAAAATTTTCAGCAGCTGCAGAGTCTGCTGAAAGCTTCTCACCAGCCAAATCTAACTCGCGTACACCATGCCTGAATTTAAAATTCCTTAGCCAGCCGTTACTAGCCTTAAAAGATAAATAACCAAGCTTTTCTGCAAAGATTTTGGCTTTTTCACAAAGGATTGGACCTGAAATCGGATTTCCCATAGAACGTTGCTGCAAAAACCATTTAAACACGGCATCTTCCAAATTTTGTTGGTTGCTGTCTTCATTGTTTTCCTGGAGGAACTTCCATCTTCATTTTCAAGCACCGAAACAAAGTTTAAAAGTGTTGACTTACTGTTTTTAATGTCAGAAATTGTTGCTTGTCCAACACCATACATCTCAGACAACTTCTTACCCGTTACACCTTTATCGAGTTGCTCTATAATTTTCAGTTTGTCCGCTAACGATAGCACAACACGTTTTCTTTTCGAAGCCATGGTATAAAAACAATACAGTATTGTACACGCACAAACAAAAGTAAGCCGTAGCGAAAGAGTAGCGTCCTCGAGCAAGGTCAATAGCACACTGGCTAATCAAAACAAACAATGACAGGTGCGCCGTGACTGCAATGCGCCGGAACTTGTCTTAACTTGCCGTTGTGCCTACACACGCGGGGGGAAGTCAGTGTAGGCACAACGGCAAGTTAAGACAAGTCAAGTCAAGACTTGACGCGCAAACACTGGCTTCGCGGGGGGGGAGAATAATAGCGCACTTAGACTTTTTTTGGACAATTTTTTGTGATTCGGATAATCGGCGATTCGGATAGTCGGAGTTCGGATAATTGGAGTTCTACTGTAATGTTTTATACTTAGGTATTGTCAACTTTCAGTTTACGTAACACTAATTTCTTTGATACGTATGTAATATAACGAATTAAGCAATATTTTAATATATAACTAATACAGTCATAATTTAATTTTACAATTAATAAATACAGAAAGTAGCTTTATTAGACATAGCTGAAGACTTAGGAAAAGCTACCGCCGAAAAACTGAATGACAGTTACCCAGGAACTACTACTATATTCATCGAATGCGATGTCAGCAAAGAAGAAAGCATCGTCAAAGGTTTTGACGAAGTTATTAAGGCCTTTGAAACTATTGACGTCATTATTAATAATGCTGGTATCTTGAACGATTCGCCCCATATGTGGCGCACAGCGTGCGATGTCAACTGGGTAAGTAACGTGTATTAAATATATCTTTTTATGGTAAAACCTTGGCAATAATATTGTTTTTTTTTTTTTTATTTCAGCAAGGACTTGTTTCCTTTACCCTTAGAGGCTTAAATCACATGAAAAATGATAATAATGGCAAAGGTGGTACCATCATTAATATATCATCTTTAATACTGTTTGAAAAAATGCAGTACCTACCAATTTATACTGGGTCTAAGTCTGCTGTGCTATCGTTCGGTAGAACTTTAACGGTATGTACACAATATTTGAAAACGTACGGACGGTCTGTGGCCATTTTTCATAATTGACGGAACCTATTTTACGTTTCAAAAACATAAAAATGAGTCATCATATAAAAAAAAAAGCAAGCAATAAGATGAACAAATTGAACATTATGTACCTGATGTACAAAAGGTACAAATGCTCCATTAATATTAAAATAAAAAAAACTCATAGAAAAATTCTCATATTTTAGATGGGACCTTTTTTCGAAAATACTGGTGTAAGAATCCTGACAATGTGTTTTGGCGCCACAAACACTCCTATGCTACAGAACTCGGGAAAATGTTCCTATGATACAAAATACGGAGATGAAATTACTAATCAAATAAATGCAACTTACTGGCAAAAGTGAGTACTGAAGTTTTCGTCATCTGGTTTGCTGTGCTTTGTGCATGAATGTCCTAATTCTTACATTTTACAAAGAGTATATGCCCTTAAAAATATATCGACCACCAACCACTTCAACCTTAAAAGGTTCATAAACAACTGACAAGTAACACTATAACAACCTGTTAATTTTAATTAAACAATCATTGAGTTCTGGACGATGGTATGATCAGGATAGTAATTATGCCGTCTGACAGAAAAACGCGGTAGGAGCAGTTACAGCATCGAAGTTTAATACTATTTTAATAAAATAGGGATGATGACTAATTTTTGTTTATTTGTCCGTCAGGTAGAGTGTTAAAAAATATTAAACACGTATTTTTTTATTTTTTCGTAATCATAAAATTACGGCGTTACATGGAGTTGAAATTTCGCATGACGTCACGTTAAGGTACGTTTTCTACTCAACTGTGACGTAGCGTGCCTCCACTCCTCAACTTTAATGCCTGTTATAAGCTATTTCTTGTTAAATTGAAGTAAAAAAAAAAATACGTATCTAATATTTTTCTATTATCTGACTGACGGACTAAATAGAATTGCATTTTTTTTACCCAGTCATCATCCCTATTACAATGGCTTATAACATAAAAACAATTATTTTAAAACAAAAACGTTGTTTATAAAAATGAAGGTATTCATGTATATAATTCTAACTGCTACTAACAAGTATTGTCTTTTACTGTAAAAGCTATTTACTGTAGTAAGTAAGTAAGTAAACTAAGTCCATGTGGTTTCACCAATGAGCCACAATATTTGTCACTTCTTTTGCTTAACAGAGTACAAACTTCCTAGATACAAGCTGTGCTCTGTGAAGATGCCTCTCAACAATATAAATATTAAGTGCACAATCTTGAGATTTTGAATTTAGAGGAACCAGTGTTATAAATTCAAAATGTTCCTTTCAATTTATCTTTTCAGACCAGAATCAGCTGTTAGAGGAGTTATCGATATATTCAAACAAGGAGAATGTGGTTCTATATGGGTTGTTAATAAAGATAAACCTGCTGTTAACATTACCTCAATTATTAATGATGCTTATGAATCAATAGAAAAGGCAATTTTTATTTGATTCATTAAAAAAATAATAAGTATCCATAATGAATAAGCTTTATTATTACCAGAATCGTTTCATATCCTAAATAAGAGTACTTAAAAAATAACTTATCTGCCATTAAGATTTTAAGTGTTGTAACTTGGCCAACTGTAACTTATTATCTAAAATTTAAACTTAAATTTTATATAAAGTGGTAAAATTAAATAAAGTAGATAATAATCTTTTGTAATATTATTTCTCACTAGTTTCTAAAGAGTTTCATATTAACTCAATTTGATCCGTTACCTAATGATTATGTATTTAGTTTCTAAGTCACATGTATGCAATGCAATGAAATAAATAAATAAATGATTTGAAACTGCCAGCCATATGATAAATGAGTACCTATTCACTTTAAAAAATATATTTTTCAATTATAAGAAAATATATTGATTCAAAATAATCCTAATTTGGTATGTTGAAGTAATATTTTTATGTTAATATGTGTACTTGTGTTAAATTATCTTTAATAATTTTCTCTTGACATTTGAAAATGTCCTGATTAATTGAAAATCAATATTTTAATGCAGATTTTGTTGTGAGTTTATCTAAACATTTTCAGAAATCTGATGTTAGATTTGTAAAATAACATTAAATATTCATGTAACCCCTTATACCTCACAGAATTTTTAGTGAGGAACATGTAACTTTGAATGTAAATTCAAACTATTTTCATCTTTTTACAATCAGACCTGAGAGTTTGTATATAATCATTTCTGTCTCCTAGTAATTTGAGCTTGTATATAAATACATGATACTTTTTCATATAGAAACATGATACTTTTAAACTAATAATTAATGTTTCTATTGATTTGGAGAAGTTTTTGATAGGTCATAATTAGTAGTACATATGTTACTCTAAAGACTGAAACCACTCATTGAGTAAAAAAATAGCTCACAACACATTGTAGTCAGAGTTAAACAGCCACAACATGAAAATCGTGTTTGTGGCAATGAAGAAAAGCCACCACTCATTCCGAGCATTAATTGGTTTAACCATATCACAACAGCAGTATTAGTTAAGTCGATTCTGGTTTGCTTACAGTCCACCTAATACATTCCTCCTCTCTTTGTTTATGCATTGTTTGTCATACTATAACCTATGATTTTGATGCTATATTTAATGCATAATTATTGAATAAAAATCTATATCCATATCGCAAAGTACTGTGCATCGTAATCAAATATGGCTCAATAAGCTCACAAGACATTGTTGTCACAGTTATGTAATTTTTTCACTGATTTTGATTTTTGAGCATAATATATACATAAAATGAGTTTGATTTTATTTTTCAGAATTTAATTCCAATAAGAGATTTGTTAGTACTGTATTTCTTATATTATCAATTAAATTTAATGTACATTTTTGTTTCTATCATTCGTTTAAATAATGGTTCACAAGGAATGCCTTCATAATAAATCCAAATAAGAAAACAAACTTATCTAGGTATATATATTTGTTGATCAAAATTTACATGCCGCTGTGGATCCTCTAAGATGGTGAAATTATTTAAATTCGAATTTAAAATTGAGCTATTAGAGGCGCGGTTATGTAGTGTCGCGAATGATTTTAGTAGAAACTTCGCAACGCCCATCTTAGTAATCCATTTCGCGAAAATGAAAATCTTCAAAGTAAGTGATGTATCTAAAATTGTTTCATCCTGGATATGAAATCATACTTAATAGAGTTGAAAAAAGATCTTATCGGCGATTTATTCTTTAATCCTAAAATATTAGAGTTGATAGACTTACCTTATCCGCCCAGAAAGTCAACAATTTCCGTTACGTTTACACCACAACGTCCTCAAATTATTTTGAACTAAAAACTAAAACAATGAATATAACACCAACTTCGATTAATTTCGGATATATAAATATAATTCACATAACAATACCACCGTTTAATCGTGCCACAAAACGAAAATGGCAGCGCGTAATGAAATGTGTAATATAAACCAGCCAATGTAAAATAACGCCTTCGATGAGATTATGTTTTATATTCACGTGGCTTTTTAAACTATTCGTATTATATTTAGTTCACCGCGAACCACGACAGAGGGCAAAAATAATATTTCCTTCAAAATCGTTTTGTTATAACGATTTTTTATAATGTTACAATATTTAAGATAAATTCCAAACCTGAAGTTATATTTTATTAGTTACCTACGTGATCTAAAGCCATACAATATTACTTTTATATTATTTATGCGAGGTAAAAGCCCGGTGAACAAAACGCAAAATATAAATACTCGCGTCCTTGGATGTATGTAGCCTGCATCCATAACAGTGTTCCCCTGCCATGCGAAATAAAATATTTGTAATAAATATTAAATTCACAATGCTTTACTGATATTTGATTTTTTTTTAAACAAACAAACTACAGTTAGTTTGGTATATCATCAAAAATCGGTCATTAATCTTAATATTGCGTCATTAAATTCAATAAAGATTATACCGGATTTTTTTTGCTACATGTTCGAATGAGATAGAGTTAGAGAGAATTTCTCTTCTGTATTACTATTTGGTACTCTACTCTGATAGGGTATTTGACACTTTTCTAAAAACATTATAAATATACTGTCAATATACGAGGTGGTTTGAAAAATTCTAGGCCCGACTAAAAAAACAAAGAAAATAAATCTCGTATTTCATAGGAATTTTCGATGTGATTAATTGTTAAAGTTTAAATATCCAAAATCGCGAACATTACTTAAGGCACTGATAATAATACGCAACTTATTTTTAATAATCTCAAATACCGTAATACAGGGCGTTTTCATCGTTCATTAAATTTCTAAACATATTGCATTTTATTTACGTTATTTTTCTAAAGCTAATCATATTTTGTCTGGAGATTCTAAGAAATAAACTTAATTTAATTATTATCTAACAATTGTACCGCAAAACGTAACTTATTTTGAATAGTGTCAAATACCCTATTTCTTCTACTCATTAGAAAGTCCTATACATTATATCTCCCAGTACCTTGTTCTTATTGTAATCTATTACCTCCATACTCCTTACTGGTCTGTGAATGTACATGTGTGCCACAAAACGTTAATGTTCTGTGGTCACGTCCACAAAATGTGACAACGTCAAAGATTTTGTATTTATTTTTTGTCATAGCTTCGGTCAGTCAATCCGCTGGTTTTCGCGCTAATCTTTTGAAAAAAAAAATATTTCTAATAAGAATAAATAAAAAAACACAATGAGTAATATTATTACAATGATAGCTCCAGTGAATATAGCCGTAATAAAATATTGGGGAAAACGCAATGAAGAATTAATTTTACCGTTAAACGATTCCGTTAGCGTTACTTTGAACGCGAATGTTATGTGTGCTAAAACTACTGTATGTGTAAGTCCCAATTTCCTTGAAGACGAAATTTGGTTAAATGGTGCAAAAGAATCTTTTACGAATCAGCGTCTTCAGAATTGTTTAAAAGAAATCAAATCTAGAGCAGCAGTTGAAAGGAGTGTTGACGATATTTTCCTAACGTGGAAAGTTCATATTTGTTCAGAAAACAATTTTCCGACTGCCGCCGGACTAGCGTCATCAGCGGCCGGTTATGCTTGTTTAGTATCTGCGTTAGCTAAAGCTTACAAAATCAAGTCGGATGTGAGTTCCATTGCCAGACTTGGTTCAGGCAGTGCCTGTCGCAGCGTTTATGGAGGTTTCGTTCGCTGGCACGCAGGTGTAGAATCTGATGGATCAGATTCTATTGCTGTTCAAATTGCAAATAAATCCCATTGGCCAGAAATGAGTGCATTGATCCTTGTAGTGGGAGACACTCAAAAAAAAATTAGTTCTAGTAAAGGCATGAAATTATCAGTAGAAACCTCAGATTTATTTCAATTTCGAGTCCAGAACTGTGTACCTAAAAGGGTGGAAGAAATCTGTAAAGCAATCACAACGAAAGATTTTGTTAAATTTGCTGAAATTACTATGAAAGATAGTAATCAATTTCATGCCATTTGTCTGGATTCATACCCTCCCATCACATACATGACTGACACATCATATAAGATAATTGAAATGATTCATAAATACAATAACATCCATCCCAAAATTAAAATTGCTTATACATTTGATGCTGGTCCTAACGCTTGTTTGTACCTTCTTGAAGAAGAAGTGCCCAAGATTTTATCTTTGATTCAACATATTTTTCCCACATCAACTCCAGACAAATTTATCACTGGTCTACCTATACAGCATGAAAAAATTGACACAGATTTGATAAAGATTTTCAGCCAACCACATCAAAAAGATTTGCTCAAATATGTTATACATACTAAAATTGGAGATGGGCCAACTGAAGTGATTGATGGTAGTCACTTGTTAAATGAATGTGGATGGCCAACAAACCTACATTAATGTAAGAAAAAGACAAGGACAATTTTTAAGAATCAAGGAGCCATATTAATTTAATGTGTAAAAGGTAATTGTCTAAGGCGGGTGCTAGGTAATAACAATTGAAGACCTTGTTTCAAAAGCAGGTAAGTCTAAATCGAAAAACTGAAGTGGTGAGAAAAAAACTAAAATAACACAAATGAAAGGTTCTGTAAGAAAAAAATTATGTAATAATTTTTAATAAAATATATAATTTATAATAAAATATAAGAAAATGTATTTCTTTTTCATTTAATAATAATGAAAGAAATTTTTGTATACATTTTAGCCAGCAGACTAATGCTCAAACGCAATCTCAATGTCAATTTTAATCCAATCCAGTGACTAAAATATTGAATAGTTTTTTTTTTATTTATAATGGGCTCACTCTTGACCTCAATCTAATAACCCCATAACATTAAGCCAATTGACCCTAGTGTACTAAATCAAAGTACATAATTGCTATGTAAATTGGACGCGATCTTGCGTTGGAAAATAAATATAAATATTAAACATCACATACACGCCTCAGATTTCAAGATGAGTTGCTAAAGAACCTGTGTTATGGAATATCTGAGACAACGAAGGTAACACAACGCACAGACCCAAGAAAAGTTTATTTTCTACATTGACCGGACCGGGAATCGAATCCGGAACCTCAGAAATAACCTTCCGACGCACGAACCACTCAGCTATGGAGATCGTCCTAAAATCATGAAACTTATTTTTAGGCTCCTATTAAAAAAAATAGTTTACAACTGCTTAACCTTTAAAGAAGTTTCCCTTTGAGTGGTGAAATGGGTGTTGCAAGTTTGAATGGAAGTCCGTCATTCATTGTTGAAGTTCGAAATGTGAAACTTTATTTTTGAACTATTTTTATTCAGTAAAAATTAATACATAGGATAAACAGAACAGTTATTTACTCAAATGAGTACAATTTCACTCAAATGAGTAAATACCTGTTCAGCTATTATGGAACTTAAAAATTTAAACGTAGTCTAAAAACTAACTTTAAAACTAATACTTTCAATCCCTATTCCACCCCAATAGGGATTGAATTTCCGCAAACTTTTCGTAATGAGTGTTTTCTCCATAAATAACTACCATAGACATATGATACCTACCGACTACAGTAGAGTCATTATAATAGGCCACATTTGACATATCTCAGTCTCAACTTCAGCGTAACCTTGTAATATATGTACTAATCTTAATATCAGTGGCGTATCTATACCTTTTGAGGCCCGTGGGAAATTCATCGGATATTCATTTTTTTTTGCTAATCGCATAATAATAAATGCCCATGCAGGGGACCCGTGTCATTTTGCCCACTAGCCACCCTGTAGTTACGTCACTGCTTAATAATAATAATTTTTTTTTTCAAAGTAACGGTAACGGCACGCTTGCAAATTTCTTTGTTATTAAAATATTAATTGTCAATTTATAAAACTAAAGCAATTTCACGTTTTACTTTGACCAATAAACCTTTTTAAATGTAATAAATTTATTTCATTCTAAACAAACTAAACGCTATATCAGTGGCGGACTAACCTCGTCGAATCTTTTCAACCGGGGCAGAAATTGCGTTTGATCTTGCGTTCACACCCACCCTCCTTGCTAAAACTACGAAACAACGTCAGAAAAATAAGGCAGTACAACTCCAATTTATGATTTAATCAAGGGAATTTGCAGCAATTAAGAAGCTCCCCAGCAGTGTCGTAGAGTGCCTTGGCGTGGCCATGTATAAAAATTTGATTGAGGGCACTTATGAAGGGTAATGATTTCTCACAAAAGAAAATAAATGTTTGTATAAACTGCGCGAATTTTAACATCGATTATTATAGGATTCTCTTGTTGAAGTAAATTACTATAATGGAGAAATCATGCAGCTCGCGAAAGCCGATGTAGGGTGTTGTCAACTTTGAAACGCACGCTTTACGCGGGAAAAAGAAACTACTCTTTTTGGCTTTTGTAGTTTCTGAAATATAGGAAGTTTTTATTAATTTTTGCTTACACACCTTGGGGACCCCCGTGGTCCGAGTATAATTAATACGGCAAATACGGCGGTAGCTACGCCCCTGCTCCCCAGGACAAGAGGCCCAGGGAGGCCGGCCCCTCTTAGTCCGCCACTGTGCTATATATATTTACGGGTCTGTTGCCTTTTCAAATCTGAAAAATTTTGGCAAAACTAGCAGTAAAACAGCCCCGACTCTTGAATCGATTTTCACCATTATTGCTCCATGATAACGCAAGACCTCATACGGCACGAGAAACCGTTTTGACCCTTCAAGAACTGCAATTGGAAACGATTCGTCATCCTCCGTATTCGCCAGACCTTGCTCTAGCGGACTTCTATCGCAAAGGCATAAACAAAGAGTACTTTATAATAAAGGCAATAATAGTAACTATTTTGATTAAATAAAGGGTTTAGCCGGATACGTATGACGAGTCGGCCCCCAAATGGGAATCGATATTGAAACTTATGTTTTAATATAGACTTGATGTTCAAACACGATTTATGTACTTTTCGCGACCGACTTCCGCTTTGACCTTGAGATAGAGAGCAAAATATCCGTATGCTTGACTATTACTGAATGTGATATATCTCTGAAGCTAATTAAGATAAAGAAGTGAAACTAACGCGAGGTGTTAGGTTACATTACAGAGTATATCACATATATTTTTTTATAATTTTTAGAATAAAAAATTACATTAAAAAAATAAATATAAAAAAAAACATGTTTTTTTTCTGAGTTCTCTGTGACTTACAATCACGAAATTAATATATGTTATGCTCCTTTGTGTGCTCTATCACCCATAAAAATTGCGTGAAAAAAAAGTTGGTGCAACACAACGAAAAAAAATTATATGTGATTCGCGCCTTGTAGTGTAAGTGTATAAACAAACAAGTTCGAACTTGTTATCGAGCTGTTTACTGCATCGTTTGTTTAGCTAAAGTAGCAGTCATTTGTATTATACAAGAAGGCATATATAACAATATAAGGAATATATATAAGAAGGAATATATACAAGAAGGAAGGTTTGGGAATTCAATTCTGTCATACGTATTTTGTATCAGCATTTTTAAATTATTAACTATCGAACCAAATCATTATTAAGTAATAATGTCGAGAAAGTGTAATAATAGTAACAAGTACCTGTGTAAGGTTCCTGGTTATAAAAAAATTATGAAGAATGAAGAAGAAGCTAAAGTGTTTAGTGACTGTTTGAATAAAATCGTAATAGTTAATGATATTTTTTGTAAGAAGTGTTGACTTATCCCATATATTAACAAAAAAGCTTCTACTTCTAAATGTGCAGCATTTAACTTGGCCGAAATAATGGACGATCAAAATAATCTCTCAGTACAATATGTGAAATCAGCACCTAATATCATCAAAGCAGAAGTAAAATCAAGACATATAAATAGAAAAGTCTATCGAATTTACATTCACTATATTTCCGAAGGTAATGACTACAATAGTATTCTTCGTTATTGCTGTGATTGCCCCAATGGCAAACGTACAGTGGGATGCTGTTCTCATGTAGCAGCTATTATTTATTATCTATCATATGGATGATATTTGTCCAAAATCGTACGTCCTGCTGAGGTCCTAACTAAGTTATTTGCGACTCAAAGTGTTCCGATTGTAATTAATTACAACAGTGACGATGATTAATATTTTGTTTCTTGTATTTTGATAGACACGAAAAAGTAATAATAATAAGTATTGAACACTGGCTGTTTTTTTTTCATTTCTTTTTTAACTATTATCCCATCTCTTAAGACTAGTTACTTATGTTTTAAAACAAGCTGATGTGAAATTTCGAAAAAAAAAACAATGATGTAATGTGAAAACCTTATAATACAGGGGTATACCATAAGACAGAAATCACATATAATTTTTTTTCGTTGTGTTGCACCAACTTTTTTTTCACGCAATTTTTATGGGTAATAGAGCACACAAAGGAGCATAACATATATTAATTTCGTGATTGTAAGTCACAGAGAACTCAGAAAAAAAAACATGATTTTTTTTTTTTTATTTTTTTAATGTAATTTTTTATTCTAAAAATTATAAAAAAATATATGTGATATACTCTGTAATGTAACCTAACACCTCGCGTTAGTTTCACTTCTTTATCTTAATTAGCTTTAGAGATATATCACATTCAGTAATAGTCAAGCATACGGATATTTTGGTCTCTATCTCAAGGTCAAAGCGGAAGTCGGTCGCGAAAAGTACATAAATCGTGTTTGAACATCAAGTCGATATTAACTTATGTTAAGTTTCAATATCGATTCCCATTTGGGGGCCGACTCATCATACGTATCCGGCTAAACCCTTTGTTAAAATTAATTAATAATCAAGTTTTATTTTCAGTACAAATCTGAAATTTCATACTTTAACCCCTATTAAAACACATTTTTAAAATAAAATTTAGTTACCTCATTTAATTTGAATGATTGAAAATAATTTGAGAACCCTCTGTATTTAAATAACGTTTAATGTGTCAAAACTAGCAAGGTTGCGGACGCTTTTACTTTTATATATGAAAGGAAACCTGGAAGGATTGTCAATCGTCATTAAGAAAATAAAGAAAGTACCGTAGCGACATCTAGTTTCATTTCGGGAACTTATTTCTAACTACTAGATTTTTTAAACTTACTACTTCCTTATTTATTTCCTTATTCATTATAAACAATTTCATTCTACAAAATGTTTTGAACTCAAATATATAAGAAAATGCAACCGGCTTGCATTTCTAACCACGCCCTTAACCATCGAAATATTTAATAAATTTATATACAATTGATTTAGTAATAGTGTTCAAAATACAGATTTTAAATTAAGGATATATTGCAAGATCATAACAATTTTAACGTATGATCCGTTCTAGCCCAACCATGACTCAAAAAATTCTGGGTTCTTTTTTTTTATCTAGCACTTGACCACAGATCACCTGATAGTAAGCAATGCAGTGGTCTAAGATGGAGCGTGCTTGCCTAGAAGGAACCGATTCACTCTTGACTTGAAGAGTCCCAGATTGTATTTGTCCGGAAACAGCAAGTCCGGTAGCGAATTCCATAGCTTCGCAGTTCGCACGATGAATGTAGTGGCGAATCGCTTGGTGCGAGTTTGTGGAATCTCCACAGTAAAGAGGTGAAGCGTCACCTCTTCTAAACAATCAGGGTCTAGTTGTACGATAGTGGAAAGGGGACGACGGAATTAAGTCGTGTAATTCCGATGCACACTCGCCGAAATTTAACCGATAGACCAGCGACTTTGCGGCGATACTCAAGACTTTGTACTCTCTTTTTTCAAAGAGCGTCGCTTCCAATGAGCCTCTTGGCGCGCCTCTCGATGGTCTCCAACGCTTTCAAGCTGGTATTTGGCAGAACCATCCCAAAGGTGCGAGCTGTACTCCATGAAGGGCCTCACTTGCGCTTATTTGCGATGATATCTTCAGTAATAATAGTATAAGCAGTTGTTCCGTCTATTAATTTATGGGGGTTCGTACTCTTTGGAGTAAAAAAAAGTAGCATGGTATTTCTCTAGTTAAAGTACATACATTTTTTGGGGACATACTACAGCGTATGCGACCCAGCTCACCTACGCAATTAGCACCTATGTAATTAGGAATTTGATAATTTTACTTGATTGCATCAGTTTAGCGATATCTATCAAGAACTATATTGACAGTGTTTTTGTACTCGAATTATAATAAAGCTGATTTGCTGAAATAGCTTATTTATGTAAGAGCAATGTAATTTTTAAAACCAGCCCCCTTACTCCCG